AAGATTAAAGGCAGGAGGAGAAGGGGATGACAGAGGATGAGACGGTTGGATGGCATCACGGACTCAAGGGACATGAGTTTGAGCAAGCTGGGGCTTGGGGAAGGACAGGGAAGCCTGGTGTGCTGCAGTCCATGGGATCAAAAAGAGTCAGACACAACTTAGGGACTGAGCTACAGCAACAACCACATGAATACAAAGTTTAGTAACAGGGAAACTGTGTGCCGGGGAAGCAACCGGTATGAGGGAACTCTCTTCACCAGACCATTGGTCTATAAACATAAAATAGTTTTATATGAATAAAGTCTGTTTATTTTAAAAAATCACTTACATTAAATAAAATTGGACCCATAAGATTGATGCCCAAAACAGGGGCAATACACTTCTCAGAGGAACCATACTCAATGAAAAGCAATCAAGGCAAGGAATGAAATCAAATAAATAACCATAAAACTAAAATGAAAACACTGCAGCCTCTGGCTGGAGACTACAGCCAGTTCCTGGTGGAAATAGGCATTTCCAGCAGCAAAGAAATCCACAAAATAAGTACGGTGTGTTAAGAGACCACCCAGACTCTTGGGGAGGAAACTGTGTAGGAACTAGGGACTAAGTTGGCATCATCAGGACAAGGCCATGTGTTCCCAGGGGCTGTCGCTGTCATGGCAACGCTGACATGGATAGTCAGCGTTGGATATCGCTCATGGATATCGCTCAATGTGATAGTGTGCTAACTAAGAGTTACAGCCAAGAGTTTTCTTGTTTTGATTAATTTTTATTGGAATATAGTTGCTTCACACTGCCGTGTTAGTTTCTGCTATACAACAAAGGGACTCAGTTGCATGTGTACATTTACCCAGTCTCTTTTTGGACTTCCTGCCCGTTCACTGAGGGGAGCCCCCTGCACTGCGCAATGGGTTCTCATCAGTTACCTATTTCATGCAAAGCATCAGTAGTGCTTACATGTCAGCCCCTATCTCCCAGTCCTCCCGCCACCCCCTTTCCCCTCTGGTATCCATACATTTGTTCTCTACCTCTGTGTCTCTAAAAAGTAAATGAACAAAATAAAATTTAGAATTTGGTAAAACAACAAAAATAAAGCCAATAGTTTTTGAACGCTGTCTACCGTCTTAATGACTGTGTGAAGGGGTTCAGCTTCAGAGGGGCCAGGACCTCTCCCGGGGCCCCAGAAGAAGACCTCAAGGAGGCATCAGGGGGGAGCCAGATGTCAGAGATTAAGGGCAGAGCTGCTCCGAAGAAGGAGTGGCTCTGAGCGCACAGGCAGGGTATGGGCCATGCCTGCCTTCTAGGTCTGGCCCTAGGGGATCAACATCTCTCCTGATGTTCCTCCTTATGGGAATTTTCTAGAGCTTTCCTGGCTTATCTCAGAGAGCAATTGCTTTCTGAGGTCAGAAAAAGAGATGAGACCTCTGCAAGTAAGTTACCTTGCCACATGCTAGACAACAGGTAAAGAGTTGAAACATATGCAGTAATGAGGAGATTACACAGAAAATCAGGAGTTCATGGCAGAGACTATAATAAGGCTGGGGAGTCCCATCAGGTCCAAAAACCTGTAGCAACTTAGCAATTTAGGGTGGAGAAGGCAATGGCAACCCACTCCAGTACTCTCGCCTGTAAAATCCCGTGGACGGAGGAGCCTGGTGGGCTGCAGTCATGGGGTCACCAAGAGTCAGACACGACTGAGCGACTTCACTTTCACTTTTCACTTTCAAGCATTGGAGAAGGAAATGGCAACCCACTCCAGTGTTCTTGCCTGGAGAATCCCAGGGATGGAGGAGCCTGGTGGGCTGCAGTCTATGGGGTCGCACAGAGTCGGACACGACTGAAGCGACTTAGCAGCAGCAGCAGCAATTTAGGGAACTGTCGCTGAGAAAGAGAGAGAAAAACGAACTGCTTTTCAGATCTCCAACTACAGCAGCAAAATACACCACAGGCCTCTAATGGTCATGCTATTTTTCTAAAAAAAAATTAAAATTTAATAGGGAAATAATAGAAAATGACAAGAAAAACAGACAAGCTATTATTTCCCAGCCCAAGTGGATGCTAGTTCTCATTGGATGGTCAGTAAGCTGTGACAACACCCGTTTACCCAAAGGCTCAATTTTCAGCAATCTCAATTTGTATTAGCAAATAGCCATGACAGAGCCCATGAATTCAGTCCTTTATACCCACCTTAGATTGGGAAACTGTACGTGAGACACAGGGTCTTTTTCTTTTGTTTATCTGTACCGTCTGTGTGCAGTCCTGCAGACCACTGAGCTGTGTAACGAATCAGCCAGATTATTGACTTAAGTCAACAGTTCTATTGTTTCATCATTCTGGGGGCCAGAAATCTGACACGGCTCTCGCCAGGCTAAAATCTAAGTTTGGCAGGACGTGGTTCTTCCTGGAGGCTTCAGGGAAGAATCAATCTATCTCCTTCTAATCCGGAAGGTTGGAAGAGTTCAATTCCTTGAAATAGGATAGAGGCCCGTCTCCTTGTTGGTTGCCAGCTAAAGGCCATTTCCAGCTTCTGGGGGCCATCTGCCTGCCTTGTCCACCTTCAAGCCAGCAATGATGCACTGAGTCCCTCATGCTTCCAGACCTTCTTGCTTCACCTTTTCCTGGTACATCCCTCTGACAATTACTCTGTCTTCCTCTTCCACTTTTAAGTTTCACACAATTACACTGGGAAAAAAATCCAGCCTAATTTCCCTATTTAAGGAGTAACCTTAATTTTATCTACAAAGTTCTTCCATGACAAAACATATCCATGGATTCCAGGGATTAGGGTCTGGACATTTGGGGGCGTTATTCATCCTGCCACATCTTTCAATGAAAGCAGCATTCATGTGGGTCCAATTATGTCAAAATTCACATACTTGGATTGTACATTCTTAAGACACTAATTCATCTTTCATACCTTCTTTTCTACTCCCAAGAGGCATATGTTTCCAGGATAATGGCAAAGACAAAGCACTCTAAATCTTGCTGGTACATCTGCCCTTGGGGACAGCAGCACAGAATCCAGACAGCCTCTCTCCTTGAGATCCTTCACTAACTAAAATCTTCTCTGAGCCCATCCTCAACATTCTCCTGACCTCCCCACCTATAGTCTCTTCATGGTCCAGGGCAGAAAACTGCAGACAGGCAGAGCTTCAGGCTTTCTTTGGAACCAGCTTTGGGCTTATGGACCCAGAGCCTAGACAGAGGGAAGGCCTTCACTAATCTTTGATGACCGAATACAGCTACCCACTCTGCCTATTCAATTAGAAGACCTGGGGACTTGAAGGGATCTCAAACTTCTGCCTCCCAATTGCTGACCACTTATTTATAAAAGTCATCATGGATATCACAAAGGAAAGAGCCATTAATGCTACAAAGGAAAAATTTTTGGTTGTTGTTTTGATTTGTAAGGTCCTCAATGCATTTTTCATACCCAAGGGTGATTAGTTAAAGGCAAAATCAGCAGTCCCAGAGTGTCAAGGAAGCAATGAATTGCCCGTATTCCAAGTTGAACTGCAAATACCGTCAAGTCGAGAGAGCAAGCATCAATTCCTCAATTGCCTATATGCCTGGAGTCTGTGTGTTTATGTGACCTAGACAAGTCAAGGTCACAGCTTCTATCCTAAAAGGGAGCTATGACAACTTGCCCATTTCATCTGATTGCCAGAGAAGGTGATGGGAACTGGGGGTTAAAAGTAAAACCAGGAATATCCTGAAACCCATTAGAAAAGAGATCAGAAGATTTCAGTGGGAAGGGACCCCATGAAACAAAGTCAGAGGGCTCAGGAGATACCTGAACACAGGAGTTTCTGTTCAGACAAGGGCATTTTCAATGTCACTCTTGAAAACATATCATTTCAATGTCCCTGTTTCAGTGGAAGGTTCCCTGAGCTATGTCATTGGACAAGGTGTCGGGGATGGCAGCCTAATCGACATTCCAGGTCACACTCCTCTCCTTTCTACTACCCGTGTAGTAAGCTTCCTCTTTAGAGCAGAGCACCTTTCAACTGAGTCTCCTGGGGATGGAGAATGTCAAGGGGCACGCCACTTCGGGTCTCCTGCATTGCAGGCAGACGCTTTATCCTCTGAGCCACCAGGGAAGTGGGGTACTATTCTTGCCAAACATGCAGAACGTCAATATCACCAGGAGAAAACATCAGGCAAACCCACAGCCCAGGATCCTTCCACGTGCCAGACAAGAGAGGCTGCCCAAGAAATGCAGCGGGAGGTGTGAGGTGCACGGCAGCAGAGTGAACACTCTGCAGGGCAGACGTCTGGGGCGTGCATGCCCCCGAAGCTGCTCCTGTGGCTGTTTTCATCACGGGGACTGTGTCTTACGGGAGCTGGGAGGCCACTGTGGGAGGTAAACCCAGCTTTGGAGAATTAGCAGTGCAAAATGCAGTTGCACTGGACGTGATTCAACAGTTAGAGTAGAAACAGGGGGTAGACATTGGTGCCAGCGGTTTAGTCGCTAAGTCATGTTCGACTCTTGCGACCACATGGACTGTAGCCCGCCAGGCTCCTCTGTCCGTGGGGTGTCCCCAGGCAAGGATACTGGAGCGGGTCGCATTGCCTTCTCCAATGGCTATTATTGGACATACAAACGGCTTTTTGAAGGGAGGCGTGGGCTTGGCCAGAAAAATGAATAGTTTGCTCCGGGAGTGTTCTGAGAGACAAGACAGCCTGGAGGCGCCGAGGCCAGCCCCTGGGTTTGCAGAACAGTCTGAGCTCAGAGGACAGCAGCATCTCCCAAACAGCTGGACAGAGTGAGCAAGGGTGACCATCCCTCTGTACATCATTTCTACTTTTGAGCCACATATGTTCATTTCTTACAGCTGCTCTAACGGATCACTGCAAACTTGGTGGCTTAAAACAATGAACACTTACCATCTTACAATTAAGGAAGCCAGAGTCTTAAGGTGCGGAAATCAGGGTGTGGGCAGGGCTGGTTCCTCCCAGAAGCTCAGCCTTTGCTTCTTCCAGCTTCAGGAAGCCGCCCCATGCCTCGGCTCCTGCCTGCTTCGCTCCAGTCCTTGCTTCCACTGTCATTGCCGGCTCTCCCCCACGGACCCTCCTTCCCTCTTGAAAGCAAGCCCTGTGATTACGTGGATGGCCCACTCATATCATCTTCGTGGACCTCAGCTTGTGAAGTGGAGGCCAGCAGAAAAGTTTCAGAGGACCTCAAAGACAAGCCTGTGAGCTGGACTCTCCTCAAGAAGAAGCTGGAGCGATCAACAGCATTTACAATAGGCTCCTGGCCACGAGAAAAGAGCAAGCCAATAAATGACTGTCTTCTGCCAGGAAAGGGACTGGGATCAAGGAAGATGACTGGGACTTTGGACACTTGCAAAGATCCAGGTGCTGGAGTCCCCCAGCAAAGAAGAGTAGTTCCCCTGGGGGAGGAGGATGGGGCAGAGGGAAGGACGGGGGGGTGGGCAGATCTGGGGCTGGTGTCACACTGGGGATGAGGAGGAGGGGCTTGGAAAAGCTCATTTTCCTGAGAGTTGTAACTCTCAAAGCCAAGCTTCTGTAGAAGCTGCCAGGTGGGCCCAGAGACCCCAGGCAAGGACATGTCCCTGACACGGCCCTGGGAGGTCTGTTCCCAGATACTGGGATAATTCGGCCTGTTCTCATTCTCTTAGGGCATGTTTATCATACTTCTCTATGTTTTAAATTTTGAATGCCAACGGAAGGACACTCCACCTTTAAGAACTGCAAGGAAGAAATCTTGGGTTGCTCTGTTTACTTTCCATTTCCATCAAAGAGGACAATCACGAAGACCCAGTAGAAAGCATGACAAATCACAACTAGAAATGCCACTCATGAAAGGTGATCTTACACCCAAGTCTGAAAAAGATCAGGTGGAGACTCTAGTCAAGATTAGAATGAATCTTCCCTCTGCCGTGTCTTCCCCAGCCCCCACTCTCTGTGACATTGACTTGTACCTGCTCATCATGGGATGAGTTTTTTCCTTAAAAAAACTTTGACAACAATGAGATAAGTTCCAAAAAAAGCTAAACTTAACATCATGATAAAAAAATAAAAAAATTTGTTATTATACTAGTTATAAAACCAAGCTGAGTCTTCTGAAATAGAGCATCTATATTTGCACTTGCTACATCACATGTCTTTCTCTTCTCACTTGGGTAACACCCAATCCCATGCACAAGTTAATTGGAAATATTGACTCAAACTCACTGCAGAATCATAGGCTGGGTATTCAAGACTATCTGACGTCTTTGTCTCAAGTACTTTAAAAGTTATCACTTCCAATAGGGATCTAAATCGGTACCCTATTGTATATTCAGATGAAAACCCAGCAGGCAGATGGAAATGTCCATGTGAAACCCTACTGGCAGAATTGCAGAAAAGAATTCTCATTCAATCTCTTGGAAATAAACAGGATAAATTCAACTGAGCTTCTCGGCAATATAAGATACTTGGCCAGATTTTCATTCCAACCATTTTTTCTTGGTAATATGTTTACATGTTTGTTATCTTTTTCTCTTGAAATTTCTTACTCTTTTCATCTTTTTAAACACTTTCCAAATATAAGGAAGTCTTTAAAAGGTACGAGGAACTCTATTTTTTTTGGAATGTTTGCACAGAAATTCTCATCCAAATTATTGTGATCTTCACTTTCAGTTTAAATGGAATATTTGAGTTGAACCAGATACAAAAGACACTCGAGACATAATCTGCTTTGTGTGATTTGAGCAAAACCCGCTTCCAATTGTTCTGTCTGTCCCCTCTCCCCCGACCCAGGCCAAGCAGAACTCTAAGACTCCATGACCACCTCCATAGGAAGAAGCCTGAGAAAGGACGTTTTTGTCAACAAGCCCCTCTCCATCTGTGACAAGAACCTGGGAGTCCCAGCTCGGTATGAAACATGTTGTCTGGGGCCTTGACGATCTAAAACATTTTGAAAACTAATTCCTTTTTTTTTTTTTTTTTTTGCCTGCTGTACATAAATCCCCAGAGGAACTCAGAGCCCCCAGGGCATGTGGTAAGAACAGACGCTCTCAAAGTAAGTCCATCGGGAACAACAGGAAAGCCACAGAAATGAGACTAAAGCTCACTTTGCCGGAATAAACCTGTTCCATTAAACCTCACTTAACACAAAGAGTGCCATAGAAACACGACGCGGTCCAACAGCCAGTGCTTAGGCTAAGAGCCCCGCAGACGTCACCTGGTTCCTCCCCTGCCTTTCCTCTCCACACCAAGAGGGCTTTTCAGACGTCAAAACAGCAGCAACAAAATATTCCATTTACGCACAAAAAGACACTGTCTTTCAAAAGCCATCAGAGCAAGCTTTGTTTTCCCCTTTTGTCCAAAGAACAAAAGCACTCGAGAAGCACTTCACTCCGGGTCTCACATCACCAGCAAGGGCGTGGGTTGCCGCATCAACACCTGCCTGGGCGGGAGGTGGTACCCGACCCTCGTGGGGCAGCCTGTGGATTGACACTGGTCCCGGACGCATGTCCTCTGTGCCCCCCTCTCAGGAGACAACAACAATGGCCCGGGGAGGACCCAGCAGGCAGGACACAGGAGAAGGAGCTACGGGGTCAGGGCACTTTGGAGGAAAGACACTCCTGAGGGCATCATAGGCAGCTCCACGTGTGCACACTCAGTGGTCCCACGGGGCTGAGCTCCCGAGGGTCCTGGGCTTGCTTTGCACTCTGCTTGTGGCCCTCGTGAAACACTTGGTATCATTAAGAAGGGCCCTGACTTCTCATTGTGCTGGGCTGCCCAGCTCTGTGGCTGTCCTGGGGAGGAGGCAGAATAGCAGCAGTCAAGACAGGGGTGTGAATCCTGGCTTCCGACCACTCTGCCCTCTGGAGCATCCGTCTAAACCCTGTGTCCTGTCTCTAATTTGGAGATCAAAATGCTTGCTACCTCATGGCTAGTATGCTGAACACATGCGTGTGTGCTAAGTTGCTCAGTCGTGCCTGATTCTTTGAGAGTCCCGTGGACTCTATGTAGCCCACCAGGCTTATCTGTCCATGGAACTTCCCATGTAACATGAAACCAAAGTTGTGTGCAACATAAAATAATCCTGACCCAAACTTGTACTATTTCCTCCTCAATATGACACGTCTCTGTCCTACTTCAACGTTTTTACAAGTTGGATTATGACTCATTAAACTTCACTTTGTAATCCATTCCTGTGCTATAATATATGGTTTAGAAAATGTTGCTCTAGGGGCTGTTTTATTGTGAAAAATTATAGTGAAAGAGATACATTCAAGACTACTGGCTAATAGTTAAAGCTGCGCTTTTTCCGGTAGCCATGTATTGATGTGAGAATTGGACCATAAAGAAGGCTGAACACTGAAGAATTGATGCTTTTGAATTGTGGTGCTGGAAAAGACTCTTGACAGTCCCTTGGACAGCAAGAAAATCAAACCAGTCAATCCTAAAGGAAATCAACCCTGAATATTCATTGGAAGGATTGATGCTAAAGCTGAAGCTCTAATACCTTGGTCACTGTGAAGAACTGACTCATCGGAAAAGACCCTGATGCTGGGAAAGATTGAAGGCAGGAGTAGAAGGGGACAACAGAGGATGAGATGGTTGGAAGGCATCATGACTCTATGGACATGAGTTTGAGCGAGCTCTGGGAGTTGGTGATGGGCAAGGAGGCCTGCATGACATGTTGCAGTCCATGGGGTCTCAAAGAGTCAGACATAACTTAGCAACAAAACAAAAACAAATTGGCTGAATCATCCCAGGTAGCTCTAGTGGTAAAGAATCCACCTGCCAATGCAGGAGACGCAAGAGACTCAGGTTCAATCCCTGGGTTGGGAAGACCCCCTGGAGTAGGAAATGGCAACCCACTCCAGTATTCTTGCTTGGAAAATTACAAGGACAGAGAAGCCTTGCGGGCTGCAGTCCATAAGGTCGCAAAGAATAGGACACGACTGAGGCACACACAACCAGCCGGCACTGGCCGAATCACAACCCTCCCTCAAATTCATATGTTGAAGCCTTAACCCTCAAAGCTTAGACTGTGACTATATTTTCAGGTAGGCATTTGAAAAGGTGGCTTTTTAAATTTAATTTTTTAATTGGAGGGAAATTGCTTTACAATGTTATATTGGTTTTTGCTATACAACAATGCAAATTAGCTGCAATTTTATAGCTTTTTTATATTCAAACATATTCAGAAAATTCATGTTTCAAAAATATCCTTTGTGCAATTAATTTAATATTTTTGTTCTTTGATTGTAATGGGATAGATTCCTTAAAATGATGGGACTGCTGGGGCAAAGGGTGTGTGTCTATCAGATTATTAGAGATTTATTTTAGAAAGCTGTAGCAATCCTCATCTTAACTAGCAAGGGTTTTTCATCTTATTCTCTGAATCCTCTTTCAGACTGGAAGATATGGTGCTTGCTGTGTTCTGCTAGTCAGCTGCATGGAAAATATGAGGTAAGACTGATTTAGCTTTCATTTTCCTGCAGGCCAACGATGTTGAGATTTCTGACTGTGTATTTCCTCTCCTGTGTATTCCTTGTCCATCCCATTGCTCATATTTTCCCAGTGAGCTGTCTTTTTTCTTGTATATTTACAGGAGCACTCTTACTGCCTCACATAAGTGAAATGGAGAAGGACTCTATGAGGACTTCCTAGGACAGACACCCCACCCTGTCCTTGGCCTGCCTCTTGCAGTAAGAGGTCACCCCCTACCTGGAAGCACTTTCCTTCCTTGGGTTCCATGCCACTGGCCCTGGAGGCGAAGGATCCTGAATAGTTTACCATGATGCAAAGAAACTGATCCTTAATGCTCTTTCCTTATTTGGTGCCTGACCTCAGGCTCTTTGAGCAGAATTTAATAAAACAGTACAAAGAAAAATGCTCATAAAAGAATAAAGATGTAGGCTTGCTTTCACATCTTTTCACATTGGATGTTGGGGGCATGTTTTGGCTGCAACTGCCCAACTCCAAATCACAGAGACTTCGTAGAGAGGTGAGGACCAGCTCCGATGTGGCATCACGGTTGCTGGTTGCTCCTCTCCCTGATGGAGAGCAGGGAGAGGCAGTCCTCAGGGGGGATAGAAAAACTTTCTACTCTCTTTTGCTAGGACTTTTAGAGTGACTGATGCTTATGGGACCATGCAAAGCATAAGGCATTTTAGAACTGAAGACAAGACAGAGCTTTGGTGCTTTCATATGCACACATTAGCGTAAGGAAGAGCTTACCAGCCTTGTGTTTTTTTCAATTGCTTTTGTTGTCCACCCGCTAAGTTGTGTCCAGGCCTTTGTGACCCCATGGACTGCAGCACGTGAGGCTTCCCTGCTCTCCACTATCTCCTGGAGTTTGCTCAGACTCATGTCCATTGAGTCGATTTTTGGTT